GATATATAATTCATCCAATACTCTCACGAAAAGTCTCTTGTCCCATAATAGGATATCCTCCAGTCACGTACTAAACTATATCTTCATGAAACGTGACAAATTTTAATTCACTAATATATGAGCATATGAACTATTGTTTCAAAGGAATGTATAAGAGGGAATGAAAAAATTTCATTGGTAGATGAGATTATTGAGAGTGCATGAAAAAATAGGTCATGTGCATGAATATCATAGAATATGCATATCTAGATTTATTTATTTTCTTTGAACATAAGATATTAGAATTTCTTTCAGATTTTTCAGTATAAGCACAAGACAATAGATTTAAGTACTAGTAATTATTTTTATTTAAAGAATCATCTCTGGGCGCCTAGGTATCCGCCATAAGCTTTTCCCCATTTGAACCTCGCTCTTAACTTACTTTTAAACTTTAAGGCTATACCGTCCTAAGGTGCTGCTAAATCTAAGGGTCTTGTCAACATCATGAATGGTAGGAATTGGTAGCATTGCATGGAAATGTAGCTTTTTTGCGTGAATGGTGGGATGCCCCCGTTGGGAGAAGAGTCTTTTTACCATACTCGTATAGCATTATGATACATATGTATTGAATGTGTGCAAAATTATTGTTTCCATGCTATTACTAGCTTAAAATGATATACAACACTATGTACATGTCAATATCATAACCTCCTCATACAAGATCATACTACTTAGAAAAATAATTATGTAACAAACAAAGTATAGTAGCAAGAACAAGCATATTAGCGTGGTAATTAATTGTTAAAGTTAAGCATATTAGAGAATGCTTAAAATACTTGAGGTTCCATTGCTTTGTAAAAGAAATTCTAGTCCTTGTTGTAAATTGTAAAAGAAATTCTAATTAATAAAAAGTTTGAGGTCTAGTTCCTGTTGTAAATGGTAAAAGAAATTCTAATACGGCTACAATAGAGAATGCTTAAAATACTTGGGGTTCCATTGCTTTATAGTTTATACATTTAACTAGAGAATGCTTAAAATAGAGAATGCTTAAAATACTTGGGGTTCCATTGCTTTATAGTTTATACATTTAACTAGCGGTGCTTAGTAAATTTTACCTAGCAAATTCTGTTGGTGTGGTTAGGAATTTCTGAGATAATCAATAGTGTCCAATATATGAGATTAACCATTCAATTTCAATTACCATATTCAAAGTTAATAACTAATACATTTTGCGGTTGATTAAAAGATATTGTGGACCTTCTTATAAAAAAAATATATTGTGGACCGAGAAAATCTTTTACTATTTCTCTTAGTTGGAATGTAAAGCGCCCAATACAAAAAATAAAAAGAAATATGCGGCATAAGAGAAACAGAGGGGGAAAAAAGGGCGGCAATGGTTGTCGCCAAATCAAATTGCTTTCCTCCTTGTGAAACCCCAATTTTTGAAAATCCCTCTTCTGGCTCTCAATTTCCGCCTGCACACAACAGGTATGCATCACCATAAATAATTTCTTCTTGCTCAATGCTTTCTCATGTACATCCCTTCTCAGCCATCAACATTGATCAATAATAGGGGGATGCAGGTAAGAACAAACGGAGCCCACCGACGAAGAGATCTGAACAATCAAGAGAATACATTAGAATGATCAGCAAAACTACTACATCAATTTATATCGAAGTGTTGTATAAACTTGATGACTTTTTGCGACATAATTTTACATAGTGTTGTATAAACTATAAAAATAGGCAACCCTAAAAATATTTGTGAGATAAGTGTTGCGTATAAGAGAACAATTGCAACAAATAATTAAATTGAGTTGCGTAAAATATCATATATGCAACTAAAAAAAGTGTTGTGATTATATATCGAACGCAACACTTTTAAATGGTGTTGCAATTCAAGAGTTGCAAGAGGTCCATTTCCCGTAGTGAATAGGTACGTTTAGAGTTGTAGTTAAACCTTTTCTTGTAAATTTTGGGATAATAATGTTGGATGTACGGGTACGGGTATTACCATTGGGTACCCGAAACCCACAGGTATGGGGATGGGTTTGCCAAACATTCCCCCTGACTCGCCAAAATACAACACCAATCTGCGACCAAGTGTAATCGCAGATTGGGAATGCAGTAAAGTAGCAAGTTCTATTATCAACCCGGGGTCTAGATCTACTGCTTACTCAGTGATTATCTATTATCTAGCCAACTAAGTTAAGTGTTTGTTGTTTAAAGCAAAAGCAGAAAGAAAGCAGGAATTGGTACGGTTTTCTCAAGCAAAGAAGAGTCACTCGGGAATGAGTCCCCCTAGCTCCTTAGCTAGGTTTCAATTGTAATTTCCCTGGGTTGATTTACTGTTGATTAGACTGCGGAAGATCCGACAGTAGCTTGGAATCTCTTAAGCTGACCAAGCCCTCTCAGACTAACTACCCGGCAGACGACTAGTCTTCACCGGGATAGAAAGTTGAAGCAGTAAGAACAGAACTCCACTACTGGAATTGAATTCCAGTACAAAGCAGTAAACTGGCTAACTCTCGTATAGCCAATCTCCTACTACCGAATGATGAGGCTCTAACAACCTAATCAGATTCTATCTATCTCAGGTTGCAACAGAAATCAGGAAAAGCTGATCAGACTTCAATTGACTCAATAAACATGCATCATTCGATTAAAACCAAGCATTAATATCATCCCAAGTCATTACAATCAAATCCCTAACACATAGAACTAGGATTCTTCATACCCAATTGAGAGAAGGGTTCCACTCCATAGAGAGAGAGAGGAAAACAGAATACAGAGTAGTCATACTCATAAAGATGAGGAAAATATGCTCTGGGATGATGATTTCCACTCCTATGACGATCTCCAAGCTTGATTTGATGAAACCCAGCTCCAAGATAGCTTCTAGGATGTGTTCTTCGTACTTTCTCTCTCTAGGGCTCTGTTTTTTGCTCTCAAAACTCGATTCTCCCACTTGTAGCCCGAAATTGGGTAAAAACCCAGAAATTCCCGACTCACACGGGCAGGGCCACACGACCATGTGGCATACCCAGTTGCCCGTGTGAGGTCAAAACGCCGCGTTCCGAGTAATTGGATTTCAGGCTTCCAACACGGCCAGGGTCACACGACCGTGTAACTCACCCTGTCTGGCCGTGTGAAGCCTTGCATAATTCTACACGGCCAAATCACTCCTTCACACGGCCGTGTCGGAATTAGCTGTGCCCGTGTGAAGGCTCGCAGAATTCCACACGGCCAAACTGGTCACTTGCACGGCCGTGTGGTTTCTGTGTGTGCCCATGTGGCTTCCTTTTTGACTTGCCTCGCGCCCGATCCTCGTCCAATCGACCCCGAACTCGCTCCCAAGCCTTCATTCACTTACTAGGACCTGAAATATCACAAACAAGCACAACCTAGCGTGAAATCGGCCTAAAACACGAGAATCAACACCTCAAACGGCTCCAGAATAGGACAATTTGATGCGAAAAATGCGCATGCTAATTCTCTCAATTCCTACCATCTCTTCACCATGACGGCAGCCTCTAAAGGTTAGAGTTCACATAAATGGTTTTCATCACTAACTAATCAGGAGGTCTTAGACACAGGTTCAAATGACTGGCTAGGGTCTTGGACATGGGGAAAATGCCTTTTAGGTGGTGGAAGTATTCAAAGCACAAGGTTCCACAATTCCAAACCCAACAAACTCACAGTCAATCAAACCAGTACTTTCTTTCTGCTATTCTGCATTATTCAAATTGAGAGCACAAGAGCGAAGGAGGTCACGTAAATACCAGTATTTCTAAGCCAGACTGCCAAGAAACACTACTTAATGGGCACTATTCAGATTTTTGGTGGTGGCTCACTTTTGCTTCCATTTTTTCTTTGTTTTTCTTTCATTTTTTTCCATTTCTTAAGAGAACCACCACCTCTGCACATTTTCAAACACCTGCCCAACTTTTTAAGAACTACCTCCAACTCTCACATTATATTTAGCAAAAACAGCAGAGAACATGTAAAAATCACTCTGTGGAACCTTCTAAAAGATGCAAACGGGTGACTTTTTATTGAAGACCGAAAGAAAGGATAACACACGGCTCAAAGGGCTGACTAGGGGGTATGACACACCAGGACAGTCAATTTGGTCGTGGGCTAATCCTATGCCTCTATCATCTTAGCTAATGACAACGTGAATGCTACACATCATGGAAGAGGGAACTATCGCACAGGAAAGAAACGAGCAGGCTCAAATCTCACATGGCTACCTATATGCTCTATTTCTCATTCTGATTCCCTGAACTAGATGCATACGAGACTGTCAAGAACAAGTAATCAATCCGAGTCACAGTTGGTAAGCAAACAGTTGAAAAACTGAACCCTAAACAATTCTACTGCCCGTCTCAGTCATCATTATAGGTTGTCCTAATCACCATCCAGTAGTCATGCATTAATCCGAAAACCATTCAATTCCCCAATCAAAACACAGTGCCAATATGATCAAACAGCCGTACTTGGAGCCCTCAAATCTCGAGATTTGGACAGTGGACTAGGCTCCAAGCACACGTATATACATTCCAACCGATACAAAGCACCCCCCCCCCCACACTTAAGCACGACATTGCCCTCAATGGAGCAGAGGGATAGAGAAGGGGAACGATGTTACCGGATTGAAATGCTGCGGGAGACTGGAAGCGGACCAGTCAGCAGGGACATATGGAACGAACGGACAGTTCTGCACTAAAGGAACGACAAGAACACACTAGCACATGTTCGTTAGGGATCAGAGTTGGCCCAGATGGCCACAAAAGAAACAATCCACAAAAGACAAGAACAAAACACACGACAAACTAAGTTCAAGCTCCTCAAACACATGGAGCAAAGAGAAAAAGTCTAAAACAAAAACACACACTGAGGGGCGACAAGTACAGCCTACTCGTCGCCAAGGTTGTCCAGATCGATGTCATTCATGAATGCATCATCATCATCAGCTGGTGGAGGTGGAAGGGGAGAGTCCTCCCAGGGAGTCCTCCAGAATGGCTACTCGCCTGGTAGCAGCTGGAGCAGATGCCCCTGGACCTCCTGCATGCGCCGAGCTCGGGCCTGCTCCCTCTCGATGCGCGCCAGGGTCACCCCCTGCTGGGTCTCCATCCTATCAAGGCGCTCATCATACGCCGCCATCCGGGTCTGGTACTCGGCATGGTGAGCCGAATACTGCTGCTGAAACTGGATCTGATAGTCGTAGAGCTGCTGATTCTAGAGACGCAGCTGCTCGAACTGCTGAGTGAAGTAGTCCTGGCCGGGGAAGCTGGAACTGCCACCCCCGTACTCGAAGGTGGTGGGGCGGGCGGCAGCAGTATCATCCACATCCTCCGGCTGGACCTCCTCATCAGCCGCACCCTCGGGAGCCTCCGGCTGGACCGCCTCTGGGATCTGAGGTTGAGGAAACCCCTCGATCCACATAACACCACGCTGTTCTCGAAGCAGGTGCATTTTATTTATCATAAACCGGCCAAAGGCAGTGGTGTCTCCCTGCTCTGTGCACCCCTGCAGGGATATCTGGAAGTAGTCTGCCAGGCGGGTGATGAGGGGAGTGCAGTGGAGTTTCTTCAGCTCAGAAGCATTCTTGTCGAAGGTCCTCGCCACCACCGAACCCAAGTGGAGGGGATGATCCCTCCGGCGCATCGACTGGATAAGGTACATGGCTCTCTTGGTGATGGCGCTGGCACTGTCCGAGGCTGGAGTGTAAGACTTGGCCAGCATGTGATGGAGGATGCGGTTGTCGAGCTGCAATGTGCTGGCCTTCGTCTTCCCCGCCTTGAAGGGAAGCTGACCGGGTCGAGCGAGGCTGGTGTACAGTGTCCCGAAGTCCACCCCCGCTAGCTTGGCGCTCTCGGTGATGTAGTCCCTGTCATCAACCAGGTTGAGGCCGAGGGCGTTCGCCAGCTCGTCGTAGCTCATGGATCGTGGTTCACCGCCGAGCCGGAACTTGACGGCTTCACCGTCCTTCCAATCTTCCGTGTATGCGTGCTCGAAGGTGGTGTAGAACTCGAGCACGAGCTCGTGGTACACCTTCTCACGAATGCTGAGTAGGCGGCGCCAATAGCGGTTGGTGACAACGGGGGAGAGGTGCTCGTAGCAGTTCAGCTTCTCCAACTCTCGCTTGGACCAGCAATGATGCTGCCCAAACTTGCAGGCCAGGACATTCTTAAACCGCTCCTGGTGGGGCCCCCTTCTCAAATCTTGAACAAACTGGTGTCGGAGGTTGGGCTTCGTCATGGTCCTGCAAAAGAATAACCCAAAGTGGAACCAAAAGAGCCAAGGAAAATGTTAATCACACCCCCACACTTAAGAACAGAAAACAGCCGAACCATGTTTTCATCCATAGTTCAGGGGTCAAAAACTCAATCAAACAAGCATAATCGGGGTGGGGGTGCACATCCATGGGAAAGTAGGCAACTCAAGGTTCACATCCATACCAAACACACCCTCAAAGCACATCATTAAGGGTCCCAACCGACTCCCACAAAATGGTACAAAAACAGGCATTTCATCGAACACCTTGTGTGCACTATTAAGATAAACATGGAATTGACAAAATTCTTGCACACAAGGGCTCAATCAAGCAAGGGGGACAATTCCCAACACAATTCATACATAATCCAAGCATTCCCCTCAATCAATTGCACAAAATTCTCACGATTCAAAGAGGTTCTCTAAACATGCACCCTAACACCCAATTCTCCATAAAAAACATAGTTAAGGTCAAAATCAAACCTGGAGACTAAAGTAGAGGTGTAGCGGATGGTGAGGGGAATGCAATGGAAGCGACGAAAGGCCGAAAAACTGCCAGGAAGTGCTCGTCGGAGCCTCGCCGGAGTCTCGCCGGAAATCGCCTCCGGCGACTCAAAATCAAGCCAAATCACCTCAAAATCGAGGGATAGGCCGATAATGGGGAGGAAAGGATGGGTGTGGTGTTGGATTTGTGAAAAACCGACCAAAAATGGCCGAAAATCGACAAGGAGGGTGAAAAGTCGCGGTTTCCGGCGAGGGAGAGAGGATTCCGGCGAGAGTTTTTGGATTTTCTGACCACTCGGCCGTGTCGGCCGAATTTATAGGTCGTGGCTCGGCCACACGGCCGTGTGAGCTGAACCTTTGCCCGTGTCGGCCGACACGGGCTGGCCGAGGATTTTTTCACTCGGCCGTGCCGAGTGCACATTTGGCCGTGTCGGATTGTGCGAGAGCTCACACGACCAAGGGGGATTTCCACACGGCCGTGTCACAAGCACATTTGGCCGTGTGGAATTTCACGAGAGCTCACACGGCCAAAAATAAATTCCACACGGCCGTGTGGCTTTCAGGGCTGGCCGTGTGGACTGCTAGAACTCCGAAATTGACCTGTTTTCACTCCAGAACGACATACAACTCGTGAACAACCCCTCAAGACTCAAAAACACACAAAAAAAAATCAAAAGGAAAAAGGTAAGAAAATGCAAACCTAGGTGGGGTTGCCTCCCCACAAGCGCTTCTTTACCGTCTTTTAGCTGGATGCCAGTCGGTGGATGCTCAATGAGGTGAAGGAGCAGGTGCCTTCAAGAGCTGATCCACCTCGCTCTTGAGGTACAGCTTCAAATGGTGGCCATGCACACGACGAATGTGGCCACCAGCATTTGCCAACTCAACTTGGCCATCCGGTAGGATGCAAGCGAGTGAATACTCGGATGGCCAAGGTGGGGGCGGGACCAGCTCGTAGTGGTCTCCGGTTTTCTTTCGAGCAGGCTTAGATGCCTGCAGTTTCGGCCGCCACTCCTCCTTTATCTGTTCTTTCGGTGACGGAGTGGACGGGAGTGGCGGCGAATGTATGGGAGGCGGATCCTGCAAAATAGGAAACACAGAAGGATACACGACAGACTCGTGCTCCTGGTGAGATACAACATGCAGAGGTGACGAAGCTGGAAGAGTATTAGCAATTGAAAACGTTATTCTCTCCTCGCCATCCCTCAGAACTAAGGTCCCATCATGCACATCTATGAGAGCCTTGGCGGTGGCCAGGAAAGGCCTTCCCAGTATAAGGGGCACTTCTGTGTCCTCATTGATGTCCAAGACAACAAAATCCACAGGATAATTGAATTTGCCAACCTTAACCAGAAGGTCTTCCACTATGCCCCTAGGATACACTACAGATCGGTCAGCTAATTGAAGGCTCATCCTAGTAGCACGGGGTTCACCTAGGCCTAGTTTCTTGAACAGTTTATACGGCATAACATTGATACTAGCACCTAAATCCGCCCAGGACCTCTCTCTACATGCAAATTATCTATAGAGCACGGGATAGTAAAACTACTTGGGTCCTTCTACTTCTGCGGAAGCTTGTTCTGCAGAATGGTCGAGCACTCCTCGCTGAGCTCCACAGTGGCCAGCTCGCTCAGCTTCTGCTTCTTTGAGAGAAGATCCTTCAGGAACTTCGCATACTTAGGCATTTGAGATAGTGCCTCCAGGAAAGGTACTTGGACATTCAGCTTCCTAAGCATGGCCATGAAGTTCCCGAACTCTGCATCTAGCCTGTCTTTGTGCAACCGAGTAGGGAAGGGGAGTTGAGGGATATACTCCTTCACTACTGGTTGCAGTTTAGGTGCAGGCACCTCAACCTCCTTCTCTGCTACTTCTTCAGCCGCTGGAGATGCCGAGACAGGGGCCTCTCTCTCTTGTGACCGAACTGGTGGATCAACAGTCATCTTGTCACTCCTGGTTATGATGGCATTGCAGTGCTCATTCGGCTTCTGAGGATGAGGGATGGTCTGACCGGATAGAGTACCAGGAGCCCTTTGTGCCACTGCTTGGGCCACGTTCCCCAGCTGGGTTTGGATATCCTGCAAGACAGCCTGTGTGTTCCTTTGGCCAGCTTCAAGAGCCAGGAACTTACTCGAGGCCTTTTCCATGAACTGCTCTATAGTGTTGAATTTCTGAGCACTAGAACTGGCGAGAGAACCCACCAAGTCCCGCAATTCAGCCATCGGATCACTTTGCACTGGGGTGGCATGGGCTGCACTTGGCTGCTGGAAAGGTCGCGGCTGTGATTGAGCAGCCTGCCCCTGCGTGGGCTGGTAGAGAGACTGCTGCTGCTGGAATTGCCCCTGTCTGGGCTGATATGGCGGCCTCTGGAAGCCCGGTGGTCCCTGGGGGACTGGTGGTCTGGAATTTGCCCCACCCCAGGAGAAGTTGGGATGCTGGCGCCACCCCTCATTGTAAGTGTTGTTGTAGGGGTCGTTGCGCCTAACATTATTGATGAAGTTCACCTGCTCCTAGGGTGTGGTCGATTCCTTCATCGCCTGGCAGTCTTCCACCGTGTGATGGGTGCTCTCGCACCAATGGCAGAGCATCGCCTGCTGCTGTCTGGTACCTGCAATCATCCCGGAACGATCGATAGCTGAAACCAGCTTCGATACTACCTGCACCAAATCAGAGGAATGGTTTCCCACATAATGTACACCTCGGCTTGGTGCTCTCCTCGACCTCCTAGCAGTGCCCCAATCATACCCGTTCTCTGCCATCTCCTCAAAGAGTTGATTCAGCTGTGGCGGTGTTTTAGTCAGCATGTTCCCGCCACAGACCGAATCAATCAGCTGCCTGTCTTCTAGGAAGAGGGCGTGATAGAAGGTGCCCACCTTGAAAGCATCATTGAAGCCATGATTGGGAGACCTCGGGAAGAGACTGTTGTACCTCTCCCAAGCATCCCTGATGGTCTCATCCTCATCCTGAACAAAATGGGTAATTTGCTTCTGCAGGTCCGCCGTCTTGGATGGAGGATGGTAGCGGGTGAGAAACTTGTCCGCCAGGTTGGCGAACGTGGTGATAGAGCCCGGAGTTCGAGTGTCTAGCCACTCCTTGGCCTGCCCCTCCAGGGTGAATGGGAAGTACCGCAGCTGGATGGCATCTGTTGGGACCCCATTGATATTGATTCCATCGATGAGCTCGTGGAATCGCCTGAGATGTGAACGAGGGCACTCCCCCTCTTTGCCTCGGAACATCACTGAACCGCGCAGCATGGTTTTTACTGAGGTGCTCACCTCAAAATAATTGGCTAGGACATGAGAGTGTTGAATGGGTGACCTCATGTCTGCAGCCCTGGCGGTCCAGTAATGTCCCATGGTCTGCTCCTCGGGATTGACCACATCATGGTCATGTGGATCAGCCATCTCCTCTCCGTCAGCGATCTGCAGTTGTGCTAGCGCCTCCTCCGCAGCTAGTCGCGCCTTTAGAGCCCGCTTGAAGTTTCTGCAGGTTCGTT